TGTGGGCCTTAATGCCTGCAGAGTCACTGACACTAGAACCAAGCTATTTAGTGTGATAAGCATTAAAGTCAACAACAACAACAATATTGGCTGAAGGATAAAGAGAAAGAGCTTAGTTAATTTGATCAGAAATGACATCAAAAAGAATATTGTCTTGAGTTGGAGAACAATATAGAACAAAGTGAAATGGTGGTAAAGAAAAGCACATTAAAGAATAGTCTGTAGATTTAAAAACATTTATTTTACTATTTTCTTTTTATTCTTCACCAACAAAGGGGTAAATTCTTACAAATGTAAATGTCCAGACTAAACATGTTACTATTGAAGTCTTTACAAATTAAAGGAAAATAACCATCAACACTAAAATCACAAGATGAGACAGCTGAACTTAAATTAGTCTCACAAAGAGCAAGTTGGTCTGGTGAACTTTGCAAGAGATAAGACTCAACATAAGAAGAGTTACTTCAAAGACCACGATTTGAGTGAATGATGGATTTAGAGTGTCTTTGGTAATGATGATGGTTTTTAGTGTTTTATAGTTTTTGGTACTTTAGTCATTTTGGATTTATTAAAGATATTGACTCAGATACATGCACAGATAGTACTCAGTACACTAATTATTATATAACAATTGCAAAGATAAAATTAAAAAATAAGAAAAATCTAATTAATATGATTTTTATTTTAACAGAAAATCATATAAGATTGATGCTTTCAACAAAATTTTACTAAAGTAAAAGTAAAAAAATATTTATATACTAGCGCCTCCACCTTCAGGAAACATGGTGAAATCAACAGTGTTACACTAACTTGTTATTAAGAGTGTATATTAAAAAAATATGTTATTATTTTTAGTTATTTGTCCATCTGGTTGAATGAATGGTCACTTTAAATGTTTGTAGAAGTCATCATGAAAAAAAATTCCTAATAACATAATTTTATTTGAGAGTAAACAATCTAAGTTAAGAACATTAAATTTTTAAAAATTTCAAAATTTAATTTTTTTTTGTATATTCGTATCAGAAATATAACATACCCATTTTGTACTCTGATGCATGGGTGCCCACAAAATTTTTTAATGTTTCAGATATGACACATTCACATGTTGTGCTAATTCCAAACTTAAGTATGCTCATACCTATGCAAAATGAGGAGGCTTTGCAATAAGTCGTAATGATGGAGGCCTGAGAAAAAATACTCCAAAATTTTGGTAACCCTGCCCAAACGGGAGGGCAATTATGTAGTAAAATTTTCAACTTTAAATTCATATACAGGTTTTGAATTTCATTCAAAAGTATTGTAAACCACAAAAGTTATGACCATGCAAAATTTACAATCCCTCAGTTTGGGGAAGGGGGTCTGAATCTAAAATCTTTATCCACTCTGGCCCTCAACACATTCAAGATCGATAAAAATGTCAACGAAAACTGTTTCCAGATCCTTTAACAACTTTTTTTGTACATCACAAATCTGTTGAAATTAAAATCCTAGCTGCGTCAAAGATTTTTAAATGACTTTCAAATCGACCATTTTTTCTTAAAAACGTCAATGTCCGGTTTAAATACTTAATAAGATAACTAGATCACATGTGTATTATTCTGGTTTTTAATAAAAATAATTTTGTATTAATAAATAGCTAAGAACTATATTGAACTAAATTAATAACAAATGTGAGAAGTAATAACTATGATATTATTGCAGCATATAAAAATAAAGTCTTTATCTTTGACATTTTCTTTATTTTTTGGAAATTTATGAACCAATTGCTAAACTATAAAGACATATTATTAATAAAAAAAACTAGAACTAGAGAAGATAGATAATGCAATTGCTATAAACGCATCACAACTAGGTATATTGGTCATCAACCCGTCATTAAAGGAAGAGGTTATAAAAGAAGATTGATTTCTAACAGTACTGAAGACAGTGGTTTACTTGCTGCTGCTGGAATTAGGAAGGTTTCTTTAAAATCTTGTTGAGGTTAATAGTATAAGCTTTTACATAATTTATATATAAATATAATAATAAACAAAGAGAGTGATATTTCTATTCAAAATTTATAGGTAATGAAGCTGCAAATTCAGTAATTATTTGTTTGTAATGAAAATTAGAAATTGGAAAAAGACTGTCCTATTATAGCAAGCAAACAAAATCAGCAGAAAATATTGATAAAATTTTAAACAAAACCTTACCAAAAAAAAAGACCAGTTAATAAATTCATTACTTAAAACTAAGGCAGATAATCAAAAAGATTCAAGTAAAAAAAATATCTGGTTAGAACCTTATTCAAAAGGCAGATATAAATCACAAATCGTTTTAAAACCTGATATAACCAAAAAAAAGTCAATTTTTCAAGCGAAGGCTTGAATAACTATCAGTTAAATACTGGAGTATCTTCAAATGTGATGGAGAAATTTACTAATTTTATTAAATCCAATAATGGTAAAAAGACTGTTCCTGCCTATCACAGAGAACAGGCATCACAAAAATCTAAATCTTCTAAAAGTTTATATTAGGTTACACAAGATATGTTTGATGTAGAGGGTGAATCTTAAAAGAAAGCATAGAGGACAGAACAAAATATTGGGAAGATTCACAAGATATTGTGAATGCTGTGATAATAGCTAGAGAGATTAATGAAAAAGTATACTTTAAAACAGGCTCATAGCAACCAGGGGATCAGCAGAAGTATTTGAACCCCCTTCCCAATAATTTTTCAAATAAATAATTTTGATAAAAAATAAAAGGTTCTTTAAACTATTTTTGGGCCCCTTACTCCAGTACTGCCTCTCCCCCCATATAATTTTTGTACCTATGGGCCTGCATTAAGGTATCATTGTGTTTTATATTTACATTAAAATTTAATTTGTAATAAGTAATATAATTTTCGAAAGTTCTGTTTAATTTAGGTAATATAGGTAACGACGGTTTTCTAAAAATCTGAGCAATAATTTTGCCAGAAAGTTATCTCCTGAGCTAATGATGAATTATGAATTAATTAAAGATGAAACTGAAGAGTTTCATCTTTAAACTAGCTAAAAAGGAAAGTTTGCAGATTATTAATGCTTTGTATAGTAACCCCAAGTTAACGAGTCTTATGAAAACATGAAACTGCTGTTTAATCTAATTAGGTTAGATAGAATTACTTTTGTTTTTGTAGCTGACTTTAAATTAATTTTGGTTTTTAATGGTCTGCAGGATACCACTTCAACAAATCCTTGTCCATATTGCTTTGTTAAACTATAGTCGCTCCGAAGATTAATTAAATTACACAGGGGGAAAAAAATGTATGTGACGCAAACTGCAATTTAGATATTTCTTTGAAATCTTTGAACAATAGATTGGCAGGTTTTCGAATATATTGTGATCTGAGAAAAAGCTGCCACAGTTAAAATTAAATAACATTATGTTTTAAATAATTTTCTGCTTTCAATGTCCTATCACCCGTTTAGTAATAAACATTTAATATATGTTTAATAAATACTTTACTAGGTTTCAGCCATTAGGAGGATTAAAAAAAAAGATGCCCCAAACACTATAAGCGCAGTGAATCTTCCACTTTTTAATGAACCAGATTCTATGTTAGTTATAGCTAAATGCCCTCTTTAATATAAGGATAACCTTTAATATAAGGATTCGTCACCCATGATTTTGAAAGCAACAGATTTATCTGAAACTCTAAAAATGCATGTAGTTCTTAAACACATTGACTAATGTCTTTGTGAACTAAAATCGTAATATAGATTAAGACTTGTATCTGAACAAGCCAGAAAGTCAATCTATAGGGAATTTTTGAAGATTTGGTCACGATATCAAATTAATATAATCACTGATGTGTCGTATGGGAAGCGATTTAAAACAGTTTTATTTTCTATTTATTTTAATTTTATTTGTTTAAACCCCATTTCTTTCAAACATTAATTATGAAAATATCGATTAAAACAATTTTTAACTTTTTTTGATTCTAATTCACTTAGCAATTGCTCCAATTGGATTTAAAGTATACAAAAGTGTGGTTTTATTGCGCATTGTAGAATTATAATAACTTTCAAAAGTATTGCAAATTGCTGAAGTAATTTATAATAATAAAAACTCACAGTTTTCTCTATTACCATATGCGAGATGAAAAAATATATTTTAAAATAATGACTTAATTAAAAGTTAATTTGTTGAGGGCCAGTGTGTATCCTTAAAACATCTTATCTCTCATAGGCTATCATAAAATATGTGTGGTTTTATTGCGCATTGTAGAATTATAATAACTTTCAAAAGTATTGCAAATTGCTGAAGTAATTTATAATAATAAAAACTCACAGTTTTCTCTATTACCATATGCGAGATGAAAAAATATATTTTAAAATAATGACTTAATTAAAAGTTAATTTGTTGAGGGCCGGTGTGTATCCTTAAAACATCTTATCTCTCATAGGCTATCATAAAATATTTACAGAATACAGTTTAAAAGTAAAGAAACCAATTTGTTTTTACCAATCACAAGAATATTTTTAGCCACCAATTAGAAGTTTGATAGAAATTTTAAAAAAAATGAATTTTTTGTTGTAAACATATATTGATACAAAATATTTTAACTCCTTTTTAGACTTTTCATTCATTTCAAAGCAAAAAAATATATAAATTTTATTATAATTCACTACAACAGCCACTAGTTTCTTTGTTACAACATTTGCTTCTCTAAGTTTATTTTAAAATCTTGACTAAGGCTTACAATTCCACATTTAATTTTACCAATCACTATTTTAGAATAACTACTTTAAATTTGAACTAAAAAAATGTTTTTTTAAAAGGTATGGCTGTAAATTCTATTGCCTAACATTAACTTTTACAAAATTTTTAAAGACAGTATATATTTACATAATTAACTCTAAAAAAGATACAGAAATATTTAAAAATCATATAGTAACTAACATAAATAATCATTTACTGATGTTAATTTGTTAATGTTAACAAGATTAAAAATACTGAAAATAATGATTGCTTACCTTCCTAACATTGTATTTGGATGCTTCATAAATATATGAGGGTTTATATTGAAACGAGTTCCACCAACTAACAATGTAGCCCTATTCTGAATTTGGATTTTTGGTCTTGTTGATTGATTAGCAGTGGCAATCACCTCTGGCTGTAAAGAAATATATGATCTAGAAAATGACGATTCATCATTATCACTATTTACGACATTGGAAGATGATAACGACGGAATAGAAGAATGATTACTAACAACATTTAAAACTGGAGAATACAATTCTTGAAAAGAATTTTGAAGCATAACAATATCTGAATCGTTGTCAGATGAACTTGATGCAGGAACATCAATAACTTTAAGTCTCCTAGCAAGCCTTTCTTCTCTTGGTGTTCCAACAGGTACTTCATCAAAATCATCACTTTCGTTTTTCATTTTTCAAATAAAAAAGGAGTTATATTGAAAAATCTAAAAAACAAGTATAAAAATAACTTTTAAATTGTTTAACGTTATAAGAATTTTAACTTGAAGCCAAATACGGAAAAAAACTTTAACGATTTCAAAATATACGCCGATCGTATATTTTGAAATTTCCAGCATTCGACGGCCCAAACAGAAATTTGTACAAGGGTGATTCCTTTTGGAGACTACGAACAACGCGAATGATATATACTAGCTATTGCCCTAATTAGAAATGGCTTCCACAACATTAAATAATATCTGTAATATTTATTTTCCACAACTATATAATATTTAATTATATAATAATTAATTGGCCCTTTCTTAATTGGCGGATTAAATTTGTAAACAAAAAAACGGCTTCACTTTTCGTCCCGCAAGTTCGACATCTAATATATATATATATATATATATATATATATATATATATATATATATATATATATATATATATATATATATATATATATATATATATATATATATATATATATATATATATATATATATATATATATATATATATATGTATATATATATATATATATATATATATATATATATATATATATATATATATATATATATATTAAAAAAAATATATATATATATTAAAAGCAAAAAGCTTATATATGACAAAGTGTTTTAGTTTTTCTCAAAAGTAGATTAAGTTACCTTTTGATAAGAATAAATGTTTTAATGAATTAATATTTTAAGAACTTAGTTCTGGAGATCTAATTTATATCGTTGTGCTCCTGGGGCGAGAAGTCTTTATCTTGCAAAAAGAAAACCGCTTAAACCTAAAAAATTGGTACATTTTTACAGCTATCCAAATGATATCAATTTTTACAACAAATCATAAATTTAAAAGTAACCATAAAATTAAAAATTAAATTTAATCAACTAAATTTAACATAGACGTAGTTATTCAAATTTTCTTGTATACGGCTGCAACGATTTGTTACGTAGAACGTTTCCTATTCAATATTGAAAAAAATCAAATGTTTAACTTTCAACTATAGATACTGCATATTAAATACTTAGAATATGAAGAACTATTTATCAAATATCTCTTTAACAATAATAATTTTTACAAAGGATATACTTAATAAAAATCAAATGACTGATTATGCATTGAATTTTTGATTTTTAATGGTAGAAGAGACCGGGGCTACCCAGCCATCTTGTTAGGACTATATGCCGGCTGGGTAGTTATCTCTGTTTTTACTTTTTAAGATCTGTAGCCATGGTTGAGAGTAATCTTGAAGAATTAAAGTAAGCTTTTCAAGTTGCATATTATAAAAAAACTTTCTTGGGGTCATTTCAGGGCATCGAAAAAAAAAAGGTTGCTAAGTTTTAACCGGGATGGTACATCAGGGTGAAAACACCATCCCGGTAATACTCTAATAATAATTTTCAAAGCGCAAACTTTGAAAATTATTATTCAACATTGTAAGTAATATTGAAACGTGCGCTTTACGACTTAAAAGTTGGATTAACCAACACAGGCAGAATCTTTAAGACAAAATTGTTTTGCAACTTCACACAATTCGTTTCAATTAAGATTAAAAGATAATTAACAAAACAACATCGTCTTTCCATAAACAAATTAAAAATTAATTCAGATATTAAGATCTGTTTCGATAAAGGCGCAGCTTTTGTATTATACCAAAAGGATGCAAATATATATCTGATTTTAAAATGTATACATCAGATTGTGTCTTACCTAGAATATAGGAAATGATTAACCCGCAAAAATCTGATAAAATTATTCAATGTGTTTTGCTGATCAACACAACACCTAAAAGAACATCCAAATATCTTGTTAATATTATTCAACTAACACTAAATAAAATCAAAGGTAAATTTATTAATTTGAATAGTTTTATTAATGAAGCCAGGCAATGAAAATAGATCTCAATGAAGTTCAAGCTTCATTTGATATAGTTAATTTATATCCGTCCATACCGATTGTCACGCTCGCTTCGAATCAATATAACAGCAATAAATGTTTCTAAATACCCTAAACGAACCATATCCTGTTAAAAAATACACTGTTGAACTTGAAAACTACCAAAAACTGTTTTTTAGATGATAATATTACAAATACAATGCATGAAGCTTATGAGTTTCAAATACATCGAAAAAAAGCAATCACTTAATTATTCAACTTAAATCTAACTTTAACATCAATTCCAATATTATCATTGGCATATTTAAAGTATTTTAAGTTGCTTTATTAGAGTATGCTCTCAAAACTACTTCCAACAAGAAATTGATTTTCTAATAGAAATACTTGTTGAAAACGGGCACAACAAGAACAATCTAATTAATATTGCCAAAGGATATACAAAAAACGATTTAAAAAAAAACAGTTATTACCCAAAGGAAAACCAACCATTTATAAAGCTACTATGGATGCTAGTTGTTGGTTCTAAACTTAGGAAGCAAAAAACTCAGGAAGCAAAACATATAAGTTATATTTACATCAGCTCCAAATTTAAATAATATATTCTGTAAAAATAAGACAAAACTTCCTCCTAATACAAACCCAGACGTCTATCAACTAAAATGCTTATGTGATTCTATTCACATTGGTGCAACTAAAAAGAAAATCATATCAAGATGAATTGAACACGATAAAAATAGTATAGAGGAAAACTGGCATGTTAAATTGCTATAAAACATTTCAAATCATACCACGGTACTTTTGACTGGTTGCATCCCAAATCCTTATCTATTGCTCCAGAAAATCATGCTCGGAAAATTAGAAAATCACTTGAAATAAGCAGAGCTACAGTTTGATACTAGTTGGAAAGTGGTAAAAATTTTTTTAATGGGAATGGCGGTACTAACGTGACAAGAAAAGAACTGGGGCCATTTTTTCATTTGAAAAATTTTGTTTCTGTTATTTTTTCAACGGTTTGATTTTATTATAACAGTTTTTTTTGTAACGACTTTTATTTATTATACCTGATGACGCTGATCACAATAGATCAGTGAAGTATCGATTAATATATATTAAAATAAAAAATATATATTATATTAAAAAGTTTATACGTATTTATTGAATTTTACATCTGCAAATATACACATTTGCTTTCAGATTTTAGTCTTGCTATGTTTGTTTTGAAGCCGGAATTTTTTATAATTTCTTCAAAGAAAATTTCTAAAAACACATTTACTCGGGAATATTTAAAATCTTTTTTTTTTTTTTTATATATAAATCTTTATTTAAAATTGATTAGCATTGCAAATAATGAATTGTACAATTTTATCTATTGTTAAATAATGAGTGAAAATCAGCTAAAAACGCAAGAAAAGAATTGATCATTTATGTGTTCAAAAAGCAGCGGAGCTGCCAATGTTTTGTGGGAGGTAGAGGTCACTGACACCATCACAAAAAATACGTAGATATTTTTGAATAAAGAATTGCTGATAGGTAGTAGAGATTTCGGTATTTAGAGTGAATGGGAATCTGTTGGGGTTTCTGCTATCGGTGCGAGGTAATTTAGTGGTTATCGGATGGTTTGTGTCTGGAAGGATCTTTTTAAGGATATTAATACAGGTCTTGTCAAGTAATTCTTCAATGTAAAAACAAATATTGAGACGGCTCGAGTTGGTTGCATCAACTCCAATAATTTATGAGGCATTTTTGTGGAAATGTTATTTTTAAATCTTGTGGATGTTACACCTGTCTTCAGCAAATTCCTGTTTTAATTTTTTTAATTCACTAACATCATTTTTGTAAAATAAGCAGTCTATAGGTATTGAAATATCTTTCTTACCAAAATAGGCTCTTCTCTTCTATGAACACAACAGAAAGTTTTTTTTAAGACCCATAACTCAATCAAAAGCCAATCTTTTTGTTAATTCATTACATACTCTTTATAGTTTATAGATTTAATAATTTTAAGAGTATCATATTTTTTAGTTCTTCTTTCTTTTCATTTGTAAGTAACGTGCAGTGATGATACTTCTAGATGGAAATTGTTTGTGGTTGAAGTCTTTATCAGGAGAATTAAACAAAGCACAGCTGGTACAGTATAAAGGAATTTTTAAATTTTCTACGCAATGAAAATGAAAAACAATGAAAACCATACTTAGTCTTGAATTTACTGCGTTAAACGTTATTAATAAAATACTAATATTTAAATGAATACTACGTTTGGTAATAGTAACAGAACCAACTTGAAGCTTTCCTCTTCTAGCTAAAGCATGTTTTAGCTCCTAATATAGTAGTGATATCAATCTCATTGAAGTTCTACATATTATTTGGTGAAATTTTATATTTGGTCAAAAGATAGATTATTTTAAAGTAGATCCAAATTATGTTTATTGAATGCAAACATTTAAGAAATTGATGTTTTCATTATGAAAAGTTCTTTATGAAATCTCTGGTTTTATTGTGAAAAGTTCTAGATTAGGCTTTAAAAAATTCTAAGCTAATCAACACCAGCATGTTTATTTGCTTCCCAAGGTTTTGCACAACCTGCAGCCGTATTCTCATCTCTCTGTTAAGCTTAACGGAGCTTTTGTCTGAAATTTCATTACAATATACAATATATTATGTATCTAAGTAAAGAAATGACGAAAAACTTATTTAAATTTTTTAACATGAAACCAATACTAAAATAAAACATTTATTTTTAAAAATTAATATTTTTAAAGAGCTTTTTTATCATGTAGTTAAAAAGAAATTTTTTACTAACGCTCCGTTAAGCTTAACGGAGAAATGAGAATAAGGCCTCTGGACAGGATGTTAAATTTTTTCTCAAGTTTCAAAGCATATTTAAATGTTAGTACTTTTAGCTTAACAAGATTTTATCCCATTTCTATATCTCGTTTTTTTAAAAAACGAAGCAATATTGAAATAGCTCTTTTTCTAATACTTTTAAACGTGTTATACACGTTTTTGACGTCTTTTGAACGTCTTTTGAACGTTTTGGACGTCTTTTGAACGTTCAAAAGTTGTCTTTTTAAGGTCCGGTGCCACTGGGTTTTGTCAAAACATTTTTAAATACTTGGATCAATTGAGATGCCATCTACCTTTTATGGATGTTGCTTTTTGATGT